CGGCTTCAACCCCGTGTGGCTCTTCAAGCAGTTCGTCTTCGACATCAACAACCCCGAGTTCGCCTTCCTGCGCTTCGTGGTGTACGAGGAGGACATGTTCAGTGACCCCAACTTCTTGGCACAGGCCACCTTCCCCGTCAAGGGCCTCAAAACAGGTATGGGCCTTCCAGCGGCATCGGCATCACCTCCCTCGTAGTCAGGGAATCGGAGAAGGGTTTGGGTTGGAAGGGACCTTTAAAGGTCGACTAGTCCAGGCCTTTGCGGTCATCTCCATCATAAAGTCATGGAATCATTGAAGGGTTTGGGTTGGAAAGGACTTTTAATGGTCAACTAGTCCAAACCCTTGCAATCGTCATCTCCATCATCATCATCTCCATCATCAAGTCATGAAATGATAAAAGGGTTTGGGTTGAAAGGGACCTTTATTGGGTCAACTAGTCCAAACCCTTGCAATCGTCATCATCATCATCATAGAGTCATGGAATCATAGAAGGGATTGGGTTGGAAAGGACCTTTATAGGTCATCAAGTCCAACCCCCCTGCAACCATCATCCTCATCCTCATCCTCATCACCTCTCGGGGTGCTGGCCATGGTGAGGGGCTCGGCCCCTGCCGTGGCACCGAGCTCTGCCCTGGTGTTGTGTCCAGGCTACCGCTCGGTGCCGTTGAAGAACAGCTACACTGAGGACCTGGAACTCGCCTCCCTCCTCATCCACATCGAGATCATCAACGCCAAGGCAGGTGGCCCCCGTCGCCTCCCGTTTTCCCGACCTGAACAAGGAGGGTCCATCTTGGAGTGACCCCCCCCACCCCCCGCCCCTCCCCACCTCACCCCTTTGCTTTGGGGGCAGGAGGAAGATGAGGAGAACCTCTACTCGTCCATCCAGCAGCTGCGGGACCGCGCCAGCGAGCTCTCCAGCCAGGTCTCCAGCTACGAGCGCGCCAACGGCTGCGACTCCCGCTACCAGCAGCGCCTGGACGAGCTGCGGGCGGCCCAGGAGCGGCTCATGGAGCTCACCGAGGTCCGGAACCGCAAGTGAGTGTCCCCCAACACGGGCCTTTGGGTGCTCCCTCTCAAGGGGGAGGTCTCCTAAAGCCCCCACCCTGCTCCCCCGCCAGGCTGATGGAGAAGAAGAAGAGGGACCGGCAGATGGTCACCAAGCGCAGCTGAGCGGGAGGGACGCGAGCGCCGGAGCTCCCCGGCCGCCTCCTGTCCTGCCACGCGGGCGGGTGGGGTGGCCACGGCTGGTCCCCTGCCCGTGGCCGGCTCTGGGTGCCTCCAGCTCTCATCCCGTGTCCCCTGGGGCTCGTGGCCGTGGCCTTGTCCCCACGGGGTGTCCGCCGTGGCTCCTCTTCCATCGTCATCGTCCGACGGGGAAACTGAGGCCCGGCCCCGGGGTGGGGCAGGACCGGCCACCTCCATCCTGGGAACGGGTGACAGGCTGGGCTGGCAGTGAAAGCCCAGGATGGGGACACAGGGGACACTCTGGGGGAGGGGGGTCGGGGGGGAGTTTTGTCCCCCCCTATAAATATCTGTATTTTCTTCTTTTATCCAGCCTGTACATACGGCGGGGAGGGGGGGGAGGGGTGTCTGGAGCAGCCACAGTATTAGGGCACGGGGGGGGGGGACCCCAAAATGCCCGCAGATGTCCCAGGAAGGGAGCAGGGGATGAGTCTGGGGGTGTCCACCGGCACAGGGTGGCGGTGACAAGGTGCCCCGAGGTAGGTACGGGCACCCAGGTGGCCCCAGAGGGGACAGGGATGGCAACCCAGCGTTGTCACCAAAGCCTGGGAATGGGGATGGATCCTGCCAGTGGAGCCCGTGGAGGTGGCAGTGGTTGGGGACATCTTGGGGTGTCCCCCGGGATCAGGGTGTCCCTGAGGGGAGGGGGGGGGGAACCTGTGTATTCTTTGTATGAAAATAAATCTATTTAGCCAATATTTATACCTGTCACCTGCTGCCCTCAGCTGGTGTCCCCTCCCCGATGTCCCTGCAGTGGGTGATGTCCCCAGGGGGGTCCTGGATCCAGGGGGTCACCTTGTCCCCCGTGACGTGTCCTGGAGGTGGGGGTGGTGCTGTGGCAGGGCCACTCGGGGAGGGGACAGGGGACAAAGGACATGGGACAGAGGGCACGGGGCCAGGGGGACACCAGGCAGGGGACATGGGACACAGGACATGGGACAGGGGACACCGGCCAGGGGACACAAGGGGCTGGGGACAGAGAGGGCAGGGGGACACAGGATTAGGGCACGTGGGGACAGGGGACAGAGGGCCTTGGGGACACAGGATTAGGGGATGTGGGGACACAGGATTAGGGGATGTGGGGACAGGGGCCAGGGGGACACAGGATTAGGGGACATGGGGACACAGGATTAGGGGAACGTGGGGACACAGGATTAGGGGACATGGGGACAGGGGACACAGGGCCATGGGGACACAGGATTGGGGGCCATGGGGACACAGGTGGGGTCATGGGAACACACCCGGATCCGTAGGGACATGGGGACACAGCTCCATGGGGACACACACAGAGCCATAGGAATTCGGATCCATGGGGACACCCACAGGTCCATAGGGACACAACACAGCTCTGTGGGAATTTGGATCCACAGGGACACCCACAGATCCACAGGAATTTGGATCCCTGGGGACACACAGAGACCTATAGGAATTTCTATCCATAGGGGCAGAGGTCCATAAGGACACCCACAGTTCCTTGGGGACACCCAGGGATCCATAGGAATTCAGATCCATAGGGACCCCCACAGCTCTGCAGGATTTCGGATCCATGAGGACACCCAGGGATCCACAGGGTTTGGATCCACAGGATTCGGATCCATAGGGACCCCCACAGCTCCATACGAATTGGGATCCACGAGGACACCCAGGGATCCACAGGGTTTGGATCCACAAGATTCAGATCCATAGGGACCCTCACAGCTCTGTAGGAATAGGGATACATAGAATTTGGATCCATAGGAATTCGGATCCATAGGGACACCCAGGGATCCATAGATTCGGATCCCTAGGATTCAGATCCATAGGGGCACCCAGGGATCCACAGGATTTGGATCCACAGGATTTGGATCCATAGGATTTGGATCCATAGGGTTCGGATCCATAGCGACACCCCGTTCCCGCCCTTCCTCCCCCCCGCCCAACAGGGGGCGTGGCCTCCCTCCAAACCACGCCCCTTTCCCTCTGCTGGCCCCGCCTCCTCTCTCCCATTGGTCGCCCGCCCCTTCCCGCCGCTTCCCATTGGCTGGCGGGCCGCGCGCGCGCCCGGACGCGGAAGCGGCGGAGCCGGAGCGTGGCCGGTGAGAGCCGGGCGGGGGGGGGGGACAAGGGGGGGGGTCGATCCTAATCCCGGCTCAGACGCTTAAAACCGGTTTTATCCCCTTAAACCGGCCACATTCCGGGATGGATATCCCAGAAATACCGTGTTTGAGGGTGGGGGAAAGGCGTTATTCCCGTGGTTTCGTGGGGAAAATGGTTTGTTTCGGGGGGTTCGGTGGGGAAAATTGCGTGTTTTGGGGGGTTTTTGCGTAAGGAAAAGGGTTTGTTTGGGGATTTTAAGGAATAAGGTGGTTTATAGTTTGTTTGTGTGGTTTTCATGGGGCAAAGAAGTTGTTCTTGGGGGGTTTTGGTGAGGAAAATGGTTTAATCTTGGGATTCGATGAATTAAACAGTTTATTCTTGGGGTGTTTTTTTTGACGGGGAAAATTGTTTGGGTTTGTGGTTTTCGTGATAAAAGAGTGTTTATTTTTCTGCTCTTCACGAGGAAAAGAGTTTATTTCAGTGTTTTTTGATGAAGGAAACGGTTTATTCCTGAGTTTTGGTGAGAAAACCGGTTTATTTGGGGGCTTTGATGAGGAAAATAGTTGATTTTAACTCCCAGATTTTTCCCTGCTGGAATTTCGGAGGTTGAATTGAGCTCCCAGATTTTCACCCGTGGAATTCCAGCAGTCGAATTCAACTCCCAGATTTTTCCTCCCGGGTTTTACCTCCGGGAATTCTGGGAGTTAAATCTCTCTCCCCGAATTTCCCCGGAAAAACGAGCGCCAGAACCTCCTCCCGATCCCAAACATTTTGCGTTTCTTTTCCACGTATTTTTTTTTTTTTTCCTCAAAGATGCGGATTTGGTACCTCGGGAGGTGTTTCCCGTGGAATATTTGGAATATTCATGAGCTGTAACACAGCTTTCCAAGGAATTTTTCCAAGGCAGAATCGATTCCTTTGCCTCCCTCCCGTGAGTAGGGCGAGAAAACCTGGAATGCGATGAGGTTTTTCCCGCTGAACCGGTCGGATGAGCCGTAGGAGTCACCTCATCCCTGGAATTATTCCTGTTCCAGGCTGGAAGGAGCTTGGAACAACCCGGACTAGTGTGGGAAGTCTCCTTGCCCAGGGCAGGGGGTTGGAATGACATGATCCATAAATTCCTTCCCAACCCATTCCATCATTCCCCGCTTCTCTTCCCTGGGAGGGTTTAGGAGGGAAGGAAGAGCTGCGCTTTTTTTTCCCAGTGGATGCCCAGTGAGAGGCCAGGAGGAAACTGGGATGCGGCAACCCCGTTTAGGTGGAATTCTGGATCCCCACGAAAACCCGGGAAAGGGGAGCGGGGAGGATTCGGGATCTGCGGCGTTGGAGCTGGACAAGGCTTTGAACCCCCCGGCTTGGCGTGGCCGGGACCTTTCCCATCCCGCCTCCCTCTGGAATTCCACGCGCGTCTCCTTCTCGCGGGTGACTCCCTCTTTCTCCCACCCAGGAGCAGGCGCCATGACCGCCCTCCCTCCTCCATCGCCAGCCGGGAATTGCTTTTACATCCTGACGGAGGGCTGTGCCTATGGAAGCAGGCACTTCCCGGCCGGCACCCTGTGCTGCTGCAGCGAGCGCAGCTACCTCTGGAATTTCTGCCGGGAATCGCCGCCTCCCACGCGCTTCCTGAGGGTCATCGTGCTGGATGACGGCTCGGGCGTCACGGTGGACGTGGGAATCCTGCAGCCCCTGCGGGAAGAAGCCGCCGCCTTCCTGCTGGCCATCGGCAACCCCAAGGAACGCCTGAGCTTCTTCTTGGAGCGGCTGAGCTTGGAAGCGGCGCTGGGAGCCGCTCCCGGCAGGAATGTGGTGGTGGAAGTGGACAGGAAGTTCTTCCCGGGGGTGATCCGTTACGTGGGGAGCATCTACAAACCCAGCTTGGCCCTGCTGGCCCCCGTGTTTTTCGGGGTGGAGTTGCAGGTAATGGGGCCAGGAGGGAAAATTCCGGGGTTTTCCGTCGGATTTGGGGGGGGTGACATCCCTTCTGGTTTCCAGGGAGAGGGGGAAAACAGAGGGAGAAGTGATGGATCCCATCACAGCGCTGAGTTGTTCCGGTGCAGGAGGAATTGTGGGATCTCCCTTCCAAGGAAATTCCTTGTTTTCCATGATATTTCTGTGTGTGTGACATCCCTTCTTGTTTCCAGGAAAAGGGGGAAAACAGAGGGAAAAGTGACAGATCCCATCACGGCACCGAGTTCTTCCAGTGCAGGTGGAACTGTGGGATCTCCCTTCCAAGGAAATTCCTTGTTTTCCATCATATTTTTGAGTGTGACATCCCTTTTCAGGGAAAGGGGGAAAACAGGGAGAAGTGACGGATCCCATCACGGCACTGAGTTGTTCCAGTGCAAGAAGAACTGTGGGATCTCCCTCCCAAGGAAATTCCTTGTTTTTCCATCATATTTTTGAGTGTGACATCCCTTTCCATTTTCAAGGAGAGAGGGAAAACAGAGGGAGAAGTGACAGATCCCATCACGGCACCGAGTTCTCCCAGTGCAGGTGGAACTGCGGGATCTCCCTGCCAGGGGAAATTCCCTGTTTTTCCATGAGATTTTGGTCATAACATCCCTTCTCGCCACGTTTTCCAGGGAGAGGGGGAAAACCGCGGGAGAAGCGACGGCTCCTACCACGGCACCGAGTTCTTCCAGTGCCGCCGGAACTGCGGGATCTTCCTGCCCTTCAGCAAAATCCAGTTCAATCCCAGGCCGGGCGGGAATGCCGGGAATGCCGGGAATGCCGAGCCCAGCGAGGCCGTGGAAGAGGCGGCTCCGGTGAAGGTGGGAGATGCCGTCAGTTTTTACGTGGATGAGATCCTGACCAAGGGAATCGCCATGGCCGTTTTCCGGGAAGGGAGCCGATGGTTCGTCAAAGTTTGTCCGGTAGGAGCGGCTTTTCCAGGGTTTTTTATTTTTGTGGGAATGGTGAGGGAGGGATTTAAAATATTTATTATTAAAATTAAAATTTAAAATTAAATTTTTAAATTTTTAAATTTTTAAATTTAAAATTTAAAATTTAAAATTAAAATTTTTAAATTTAAAATCCAATTTGAAATCTGAAAATCCAATATTAGAAGTATTAGAATATAAAGTGAATATTAAGTCACGTTAAGGTAGCAAAGTATCAAATATTGAAATATTGAAGATAATTAAGAAGAAATGAAGAAGTGCTGAAAGAATTTAAAGGATTAAAATAGGAAATAAAAATGATTAAAAATTGAAAGTATTAAAATGGTAAATAAAAAATTGTTAAAAATTGAAAGTGTTAAGATATGTTAAAATGGTAAAATATTAAAAGTATTAAAGATACTAAGGAAAATATTAAATATCAAAAATATCAAAAATGGTAAAATATTTAAAATAAAAATATTTTAAATATTGGAATATTTTAATATATAAAATATTAAATATGCTGAATAAAATATTAAATATTGACAAATATTTAAATAAGTGAAATAGTAAAAATAAAATATTAAAAATATCAAAATATTCTAAAATATTAAGATTTTAAATAAAATGTTAAATGTTAATAAAGATTAAAAGATTAATAAATAATAAAATATCAATAAATATTAAAATACTAATAAAGAATAAAATAAAATATGAAAGCTATTAAAATATTTTCAAATATTAAAAATGTCAGAAAATATAAAAAATACAATATTAAAAATTTTTTTTTTAAAAGATGCCCTCCTATTCCGGATTTTTCCCTCTCCTTGCAGGAAGAAGAAGGAACGACCGATATTTTCAGGGAAATCCCGATGGATTCTGTTGTGAAGGAGACTTTGCCAAGTAGGTGGATTATCCTTGGGACATTCCAGGGGGGAATTTGGTCTCCTGAGGAGCTGAAAACCCAATAAAAACTGAACTGATGGGGATTTATGGAACGAAATTCCCGAGTTCCAGGCAGAATTCCTTGGGTGAGGCGGCTGAAGGTGAATCCCAGGAAGAAATTCCTCTGGGAAGAGGCTTGGATTTAGTGGGAGAGGGAGCAGGAGCCTCATCCCAGTGGGAAAAGCGCAGGTGGGATCGCTGGGAAAGGCAAGGAATTGGTGGAGTCTCCCCCTTGCCACCAAAAATGATTGGAATCTTCCGTGATTCGTCTCACTAACGGCAGAAAAATTTGGGAATGCCCCCCCCTGCCGCCATTCCAGGAGTTTGGGAAGGGCTGGATTAGCTCAGAGGCCGGAAAACAGGGAGCAGGGTCATTCCCTGTCAGACCAGCTCGGCCACCCGCTGGGAATGACACCTTGTGCTTGTCTGTGTGGCCTGGAATTCCAGAATATCCCTGGAATTAGGTGAGGTCCGGAGGTTCTGTCCCGTTTGGCATCGGAATTCCCGCCTCACTCGGAGTTCTGTTTGTCCGTCAGGTCCGTTCCCGTCCTTCGACTCCAACCATTTGGAACCCCCAAATCCGGCGAAACCAGAGGCCAAGGAGAGCAGCGAGGAGGGGGAAGGTGGGAATTCCCAGCTGGAAGTGAACTCCATGGTGCAGATCACCCTGGACAAGGGGAGCCGAGTGTCGGGAATCATCCGCTGGGTGGGATTCCTGCCCCAGATTCCGGAGAAAATGGCTGGAGTCGAGCTGGTGAGGAGCAGGTTTGGGGCCTGCAGGTCCATGGGAAGGGAACGGAGCTGGGAAGGGTCTGGAAAACCAGGAACAGGGAGCTGGGGGAGGGGAGGGGGCTCATCCTGGAGAAAAGAGGGATCGGGGGGAGAATCCAAGGGGGACAGGAGGGTGGAGCCAGGAGGGATTGGGATCATTCCTAGGGAATGAGGGGCAGGACGAGAGGAAACGGCCTCAAGTTGCGCCAGGGGAGGTTTAGGCGGGATAGTGGGAAAATTCCCAATTCCTGGAAAGGGTTGGGAAGCACTGGAAGGGCTGGAATCCCCATCCCTGGAGGGGTTTGACATCCCTGTGGATGTGGCACCTCGGGGGGGGGTGGGGGTGACAACAATTTAGTGGTGGCCTTGGCTGGGCTGGCTTTTCCAACTCCTCGATCCCATAAATCCTGCTCTTCCCGGATGATCTTTCCCCCTCAGGATGAAGACAAGGGGGTCACCGGGGGCGAGTGGTTGGGCAGGTCCTACTTCCACTGCGCCCCCAAACGCGGCCTCTTCGTCAGGCTCAACTCCTGCCAGCCCGACAGGCGCTTCCAGAGCTTTCCCAGCGCCCATCTCCCCCTCCTGGATCCCGGTAAGTCCTCTGGGAAGCGGGAAAAGCGGGAAGAGAGACTCCCTGTGGAGAAACCTGGCGGGCAACCTCGAGGTCCTTCGAGTGCTGGGCTCTGCTGGTGCCTCTGCCCCACCACACCCTCGGCCCTGCCAGGTTCAGGGTGGCCCTCCCCCACATCTCAGAGGTTCTTTTCCAACCTCCAAAATTCCGTAGGGAACATCCCACCAGGCGTGAGAGTGATTCAGGAGACAGGGAGAGACGGGATTGAGAAGCCAACCTGGGAGTCCTGAACTCAGCTTAGGCTTCTGGAGCACCAGGGAAGGTTCTGGGGGGACCCCGAGGAGGTCGCTGGGGAATCCACGGGATTTGCTCTCCCTGCAGGAGAACGGGAAGCTCTTCCCGAGGCTCCTCCCGAGAGTTTTCCCCCCCTGAGGGACGAGGCGGCCGTGCGTGTCCTGCGGGGGCCCATGAGGGGCATCCAAGGCCACTGCAATTCCTGCTACATGGATGCAGCTCTCTTCAGGTGAGGACCCGATGGAATGAGGGTGGTTTTTTTTTTTTTTAGCCCCGAGTTGCAGCATTTCCCTGGATTTCCACCCCGCCTGGAAGTTCAGCAGGTGTGGATGGAGCAGACGGAGCCCCGAGGCTGCTTGTTTTTTTTTTTTTCCAGCTCGATTCCCAAACCTGGAAGGTTCCCCAGCCCTGAGGAACCCCCGTCCCCGTGTGTCTCGTCCTCCAGGCTGCTGAGAGCTCCCAGTTTTCCGGACTTGAACCCTGCTGGCTCTGTTCCCTGGAAGTTCTGGCTGGAATCCTTTCCAAGAGCCCACCCAGGAGGTCCCAGCTCGGAGAGGAAAAGACTCAGTGGTGCCTTTCCCTGAGCACTTTTGGTGCCAAGTAGGAGATTCCCTTCTCCCTGAGCTTTTCCTTGCTTTTTCCCAGTTGTCCATTCCACCAGCTGTGCCGTCCCTCACCTCCCCGTCATTCCATGCATGGAATCTTGAGCATCCAAGCCATCGACCGTTCACCATCCGCCACCGCGTTTTGGTTCCAGCTGCTGCTGCTTCCCAATCCGTGGGGATTAAACCAATCCCACTCTTCTCCACAGCCTCTTCTCCTGCACATCCGTGCTGGACTCCATGCTCTTCATGCCCTTCCCGCTGCGTGGCAGGAATGTGCAGGGAATTCTGCGGGATGAGATCGTTAATCCCCTCCGGAGGTGAGTTTCTGGGAAATGCCGGAATTTTTCCGTCTGCCTTCCATCCGTTCCTTCTCTGCTGCCCTGCAGGTGGCACCGAGGGAGAGGGATTTTCCTCCCAACCAGATCCCACGGGAGAAGGGGGGAATGGTTTCCCACTGCCAGAGAGGAGGTTTAGGTGGGATATTGGGAAGAAATTCCTCCCTGGGAAGGTGAGGAGGGGCTGGAATGGCATTCCCAGAGAAACTGCGGCTGCCCCATCCCTGGAATGTTTAAGGACAAACTGGACAGGGCTTGGAGCAACCTGGGATAGTGGGAGGTGTCCCTGCCCATGGCAGGGGCTTGGAATTCAACAATCCCTCCCAACCCAAACCATTCCATGATCCTGGGATGGTTATTCCAGTCGTTCCTTCCCCTGGGATGTGAGGCCATCCTGGATCCTTCCAGGAGAGTCTCCTGCTCTGAAGGAACCTCGGGAGCTGCACTTCCCAGGGAAAGGGAAAAAACAGGGATTCCTGGGGTTCCAACCCCCTCTGGGTGGAGCCCTGGAGTCGATGAAGCAGCAGCTTTGCCTTCATCAGCAGCTGATCCCAAAGACTTCCCGGCTGGATGAGGGGAGACCATCCACCTTCCAGAGCCTAAAGGGGCTTCAGGAGAGCTGGAGAGGGAATTGGGATGAGGGATGGAGGGACAGCACACAGGGAATGGTCCAGAGGAGAGGGTTAGATGGGATTCTAGGATTGGCTCATTCCCTGAGGGATCACCTGGAGCTGGATGTCGTTCCAGGAGCGGATTTGTCCGGGCCAGCAGCGTGATGCACCTGCGGGAGCAGCTGACGGACAAGGGACAATGTTCCAGCTTCACCAACGCTGAGAAAGGTCAGGAGCCCCCTCTGGAGCTTTTCCAGGCCTGCTTCCCTGGGGTTTTGCCTCATCCAGGCACCAGCTGACCACTTAATTTGGGTTGGTTTTTTTTTCCAGGGAATGTGCTTTAAGGAGCTGGTAGTTTGTATGTCAGAATTCCCATGGAAAATGTTTCCAGCTTTTAAAACTTTCTGTGCCCCCTTCCGGAGCCTGAAGGGGCTCCAGGAGAGCTGGAGAGGGATTTGGGATGAGGGATGGAGGGACAGCACACAGGGAATGGCTTCCCAGGGTTTGGTGGGATATTGGGAAGGAATTCTTGGCTGGGAGGGTGGGGAGGGGCTGGGCTGGAATTCCCAGAGAAGCTGTGGCTGCCCCTGGATCCCTGGAAGTGTCCCAGGCCAGGTTGGAGCACCCTGGGATGGTGGGAGATGTCCCTGCCCATGGAAAGGGGGTTGGAACTGGTTGATCTTTGTGGTTCCTTCCCACCCAACCCATTCCAGGATTCCAGGAAAGTGCAGTATCTGAAGGCTCATCTGCATTTTCCGGGCTCCCCTTGGAGCCTAAAAATGAAATTCCATGTTCCTGGAATGTTGGCTGGCGTTTCCCTGGCAGCTTTTGGCTCCATCCCTTTTTCCCTCCCCTCCCAGATCCCGAGGAGTTCCTCAACCTCATCATGCAGCAAATCCTGGGAATGGAGCCTCTCTTGAAACTCCAGTAAGTTTGTGCAGCCTGAGGGATGCGATTCCCCAATTTTCCACCTCACATTCCCTTCGGTGGGGGGAAATGGGGGGGGGGGGGTCACTTTTCCCTTTCCGTGGAGCTTTTTGGGAATGCAGCTCCGAGTTCTGTGCAGCTCCTGAAGAGCTGCCTGTGATCCTGATGGTTGGGATCTTCCCATCCAGGGAAAAATAAACAACCAAACCATTTCTGAGCTCTCCCTGGAAGGCGCTGCCTTGGGAAAATCGGGATAAAATCCTCGTCCCGTCCTCGGGGAGAGCCGAGAAGGGGTTTGAGGGCAGAGCCAGCAGGATCCAGATTTATCCCTTTGGATAAATGTGCCTTATCCCTTTGGATAAATCTGGGATGTGGCCAGGCTGCCAAGCTGGCTCCGATCCCAGAGCCTTTCCAGCAGGGATGTGATCCCAGGACTCCACAAAGCGGGATGAGGGGCCGGAGGGAGCCCAAAACTGAGGGATGTGTTGGGAGCACAGGAGGGGATTGTTGGATTTCTGGGCTCTCAGCAGCTCCCCCGCCCGGGCTCATCCCAAGGAAATCCTCCCCCTGATGGATGTGGAGGATTTGTGGGATCTCTCCTGGAACAGGGATGGAGATGTCGTCAATGGATCTCCCATCGGAGCAGCCTTTGGGTCTTTGACTTCGAAGCCGCTCCCAACAATTCCTTTTCATATTTAGAGACAGGAATTTTCCCCACACAGGAGCAGGATTTGGGGGCTCCAGGGGGACTGTGAGGCTGCAAATCCTGCTTCTATCCCTTTTTTCCCGTGGCACAAACGTGGGATTCCCAGGTGGAAAAAGGCACCGAACGGACCCCCGGGGAGCTCCAACGGGAGAATCCCGCGGGATCTCCGGCGGTTGTGGATCCACCTCACCCCTCCCCGTTCCCTGCAGGTCAGGGGGCCGGGAGCAGGATTGTTACTGCTACCAGATATTCCTGGAGCAGCAGGAGGATCTGGTGGTTCCCAACGTGCAGCAGTTGGTGGAACGTTCCTTCCTGGCCTCGGATCTGAAGCTGGTGGAGGTGAGTCCGTTCCCTCCCGCTTCCCGAAAACACCACGGAGCTCCCGCGTTATCCAGCCCTGAATCCAAGCCTGGCTTGGGAAAACGGGCTCAGCTTTCCCCCTTTTCCCCCTTTTATCCCGTGAATATTCAGCAGGGAAATCTTCATTCCCAAATTTAGAGGAGAACCTTCGAGCTCCGCCTCTTCCCACTCCGTTTTCCCCCCTCTGTGTTTTCCCTTTTTTTTTCCCCCCCACC